ATTCAGGTTATAGGAAACCCACATATTGCATATTGCTACTCCCCCGCATGGGCTATAGAAAACCTGCAGAGTGCGTATGGCAAGCTCCCACACTACAGAACTCTGTAAAGTGCTTCTAACTACACCGAGCGTACAGAATCCCATAAACTGCATCTCTCACCACCCAGCTTACTGAACTCCAGTAAGCTGCGTCTCCTACAGTTAAGCTACACCAAAACCGCAAATCGCGTATTGCTACTCCCAAGCTACACAACACTGTATACTGCTTTTCTATATACCAGGGAAACAGAAACTCTCATCAACTACATTGCCCTTCACCAATGTTACAAAACAACCGTTGCTGCATCTCCCACACTCGTGTTATGAAAACCTGCATATTGTGCATTGCTACTTCCATGCTACAGACTCTGTAAAGTACTTCTCTGTACATCCAGGCTACAGAACTCTTGTAAAACTGCTTCTCTCTAGACCCAGGATACAGAAATACTGCAAGCTGCGTTTGCTACACTCACGCTACGGATATCCCAGATATAGCGTACTCCAACTCCCAGGCTACAGAACTCTTGTAAACTGCTTCATTCTACACCCAGGATACGGAACTCTGTTAAACTGCATCTCTCTACCCCAATGTCACAAAAAAGCACGTGAGCTGCATCTCCTACACTCAGGCTATAGAAATCCCACTTATTTCGAATGTCTACTCCCAGGCTACAGAACTCTGTAAGCTTCTGCTTTCTAGACCTAGGATACAGAAATACGGTAAGCTGTGTCTGCTGCACCAAGGCTACAGATATCCCAGATATTGCGAATGCCTACTCCCCAGGCTACAGAACTGGTGCAAACTGCTTCTCTCAATACCCAGGTTACATGAAATCCTTACAGTGCGAATGCCTACTCCCAGGCATTCATTCTACAGCTCATAGCAAACCCGCATATTGCGTATTGCTAGTCCCAGGCTCCAGACTCTTGTAAACGCCTTCATTCTACACCCAGGATACAGAATTCTGGTAAACTGCATCTCTCTACCCCACCTAACAACAAGCACATGAGCTGCATCTCCCACTTCAGGTTATAGGAAACCCACATATTGCATATTGCTACTCCCCCGCATGGGCTATAGAAAACCTGCAGAGTGCGTATGCAACTCCCCCACTACAGAACTCTGTAAAGTGCTTCTAACTACACCGAGCGTACAGAATCCCATAAACTGCATCTCTCACCACCCAGCTTACTGAACTCCAGTAAGCTGCGTCTCCTACAGTTAAGCTACACCAAAACAGCAAATCGCGTATTGCTACTCCCAAGCTACACAACACTGTATACTGCTTTTCTATATACCAGGGAAACAGAACTCTCATCAACTACATTGCCCTTCACCAATGTTACAAACAACCGTTGCTGCATCTCCCACACTCGTGTTATGGAAAACCTGCATATTGTGCATTGCTACTTCCATGCTACAGAACTCTGTAAAGTACTTCTCTGTACATCCAGGCTACAGAACTCTTGTAAACTGCTTCTCTCTAGACCCAGGATACAGAAATACTGCAAGCTGCGTTTGCTACACTCACGCTACGGATATCCCAGATATAGCGTACTCCAACTCCCAGGCTACAGAACTCTTGTAAACTGCTTCATTCTACACCCAGGATACGGAACTCTGTTAAACTGCAATCTCTCTACCCCAATGTCACAAAACACACGTGAGCTGCATCTCCTACACTCAGGCTATAGAAATCCCACTATTTCGAATGTCTACTCCAGGCTACAGAACTCTTGTAAGCCTTCTTCTTTCTAGACCTAGGATACAGAAATACGTAAGCTGTGTCTGCTGCACCAAGGCTACAGATATCCCAGATATTGCGAAATGCCTACTCCCAGGCTACAGAACTGGTGCAAACTGCTTCTCTCAATACCCAGGTTACAGAAATCCTGTACAGTGCGAATGCCTACTCCCGGCATTCATTCTACAGCTCATAGCAACCCGCATATTGCGTATTGCTAGTCCCAGGCTCCAGAACTCTTGTAAACGCCTTCATTCTACCCCAGGATACAGAATTCTGGTAAACTGCATCTCTCTACCCAAACCTAACAACAAGCACATGAGCTGCATCTCCCACATCAGGTTATAGGAAACCCACATATTGTGTATTGCTACTCCTCGCTACAGAACTCGGTAAACTGTTTCTCTCTGTAAGCAGCTTCCACAATTCCCATAAACTGCATCTCTCCACACCCAGCTTATAGAACCCGGAGGCTGCATTTCCCTGCAACCACGTTACCAGAACACCCATATAGCTGCATCTCCCACACACGGGCTATAGAAAACCTGCAGAGTGCATATGCTACTCCCACACTACAGAACTCTGTAAAGTGCTTCTAACTCACCGAGCGTACAGATCCCATAAACTGCATCTCTCACCACCAGCTTACTGAACTCCCTAAGCTGCGTCTCCTACAGTTAAGCTACACAAAAACCGCAAATCGCGTATTGCTACTCCCAAGCTCCACAACCACGTATACTGCTTTTCCATATACCAGGGAAACAGAACTCTCATCAACTACATTGCCCTTCACCAATGTCACAAAACCCCCGTTACCTTGTCTCCCTCACTCGTGTTATGGAAAACCTGCATATGGTGCACTTGCTACTTCCATGCTACAGAACTCTGTAAAGTACTTCTCTGTACATCCAGACTACAGAACTCTTGTACACTGCTTCTCTCTAGACCAAGGATACAGAAATACCGCAAGCTGTGTCTGCTATACTCACGCTACAGATGTTCCAGATATTGCGTACTCCTACTCCCAGGCTACAGAACTCTTGTACACTGCATATCCCAAGACCCAGGATACTGAAATACCACAAGCTGTGTCTTCTACACATAAGCCACAGGTATCCCAGATATTGGGAATGCCTACTCCAGGCTACAGAACTGGTGCAAACTGCTTCTCTCAACACTCAGGTTACTGAAATCCTTTACAGTGCGAACGCCTACCCCCAGGCATTCATTCTACAGCTCATAGCAAACCCGCATATTGCGTATTGCTAGTCCCAGGCTCCAGAACTCTTGTAAACGCCTTCATTCTACACCCAGGATACAGAATTCTGGTAAACTGCATCTCTCTACCCAACCTAACAACAAGCACATGCTGCATCTCCCACATTCAGGTTATAGGAAACCCACATATTGCATATTGCTACTCCCCCGCATGGGCTATAGAAAACCTGCAGAGTGCGTATGCAACTCCCACACTACAGAACTCTGTAAAGTGCTTCTAACTACACCGAGCGTACAGAATCCCATAAACTGCATCTCTCACCACCCAGCTTACTGAACTCCAGTAAGCTGCGTCTCCTACAGTTAAGCTACACCAAAACCGCAAATCGCGTATTGCTACTCCCAAGCTACACAACACTGTATACTGCTTTTCTATATACCAGGGAAACAGAACTCTCATCAACTACATTGCCCTTCACCAATGTTACAAACAACCGTTGCTGCATCTCCCACACTCGTGTTATGGAAAACCTGCATATTGTGCATTGCTACTTCCATGCTACAGAACTCTGTAAAGTACTTCTCTGTACATCCAGGCTACAGAACTCTTGTAAACTGCTTCTCTCTAGACCCAGGATACAGAAATACTGCAAGCTGCGTTTGCTACACTCACGCTACGGATATCCCAGATATAGCGTACTCCAACTCCCAGGCTACAGAACTCTTGTAAACTGCTTCATTCTACACCCAGGATACGGAACTCTGTTAAACTGCATCTCTCTACCCCAATGTCACAAAAAGCACGTGAGCTGCATCTCCTACACTCAGGCTATAGAAATCCCACTTATTTCGAATGTCTACTCCCAGGCTACAGAACTCTTGTAAGCTTCTTCTTCTAGACCTAGGATACAGAAATACGGAAGCTGTGTCTGCTGCACCAAGGCTACAGATATCCCAGATATTGCGAATGCCTACTCCCAGGCTACAGAACTGGTGCAAACTGCTTCTCTCAACTACCTCAGGTTACTGAAATCCTTTACAGTGCGAACGCCTACCCCCAGGCATTCATTCTACAGCTCATAGCAAACCCGCATATTGCGTATTGCTAGTCCCAGGCTCCAGAACTCTTGTAAACGCCTTCATTCTACACCCAGGATACAGAATTCTGGTAAACTGCATCTCTCTACCCAACCTAACAACAAGCACATGAGCTGCATCTCCCACATTCAGGTTATAGGAAACCCACATATTGTGTATTGCTACTCCCACGCTACAGAACTCGGTAAACTGTTTCTCTCTGTAAGCAGCTTCCACAATTCCCATAAACTGCATCTCTCCACACCCAGCTTATAGAACTCCCGGAGGCTGCATTTCCCTGCAACCACGTTACAGAACACCCATTAGCTGCATCTCCCACACACGGGCTATAGAAACCTGCAGAGTGCATATTGCTACTCCCACTACAGAACTCTGTAAGTGCTTCTAACTACACCGAGCGTACAGGAATCCATAAACTGCATCTCTCACCACCCAGCTTACTGAACTCCCCCTAAGCTGCGTCTCCTACAGTTAAGCTACACAAAACCGCAAATCGCGTATTGCTACTCCCAAGCTACACAACACTGTATACTGCTTTTCCATATACCAGGGAAACAGAACTCTCATCAACTACATTGCCCTTCACCAATGTCACAAAACCCCGTTACTTGTCTCCCTCACTCGTGTTATGGAAAACCTGCATATGGTGCATTGCTACTTCCATGCTACAGAACTCTGTAAAGTACTTCTCTGTACATCCAGACTACAGAACTCTTGTACACTGCTTCTCTCTAGACCAAGGATACAGAAATACCGCAAGCTGTGTCTGCTATACTCACGCTACAGATGTTCCAGATATTGCGTACTCCTACTCCCAGGCTACAGAACTCTTGTACACTGCATATCCCAGACCCAGGATACTGAAATACCACAAGCTGTGTCTTCTACACATAGCCACAGGTATCCCAGATATTGGGAATGCCTACTCCCAGGCTACAGAACTGGTGCAAACTGCTTCTCTCAACACTCAGGTTACTGAAATCCTTTACAGTGCGAACGCCTACCCCCAGGCATTCATTCTACAGCTCATAGCAAACCCGCATATTGCGTATTGCTAGTCCCAGGCTCCAGAACTCTTGTAAACGCCTTCATTCTACACCCAGGATACAGAATTCTGGTAAACTGCATCTCTCTACCCAACCTAACAACAAGCACATGAGCTGCATCTCCCACATTCAGGTTATAGGAAACCCACATATTGCATATTGCTACTCCCCCGCATGGGCTATAGAAAACCTGCAGAGTGCGTATTGGCTACTCCCACACTACAGAACTCTGTAAAGTGCTTCTAACTACACCGAGCGTACAGAATCCCATAAACTGCATCTCTCACCACCCAGCTTACTGAACTCCAGTAAGCTGCGTCTCCTACAGTTAAGCTACACCAAAACCGCAAATCGCGTATTGCTACTCCCAAGCTACACAACACTGTATACTGCTTTTCTATATACCAGGGAAACAGAACTCTCATCAACTACATTGCCCTTCACCAATGTTACAAAACAACCGTTGCTGCATCTCCCACACTCGTGTTATGGAAAACCTGCATATTGTGCATTGCTACTTCCATGCTACAGAACTCTGTAAAGTACTTCTCTGTACATCCAGGCTACAGAACTCTTGTAAACTGCTTCTCTCTAGACCCAGGATACAGAAATACTGCAAGCTGCGTTTGCTACACTCACGCTACGGATATCCCAGATATAGCGTACTCCAACTCCCAGGCTACAGAACTCTTGTAAACTGCTTCATTCTACACCCAGGATACGGAACTCTGTTAAACTGCATCTCTCTACCCCAATGTCACAAAAAGCACGTGAGCTGCATCTCCTACACTCAGGCTATAGAAATCCCACTTATTTCGAATGTCTACTCCCAGGCTACAGAACTCTTGTAAGCTTCTTCTTTCTAGACCTAGGATACAGAAATACGGTAAGCTGTGTCTGCTGCACCAAGGCTACAGATATCCCAGATATTGCGAATGCCTACTCCCAGGCTACAGAACTGGTGCAAACTGCTTCTCTCAATACCCAGGTTACAGAAATCCTGTACAGTGCGAATGCCTACCCCCAGGCATTCATTCTACAGCTCATAGCAAACCCGCATATTGCGTATTGCTAGTCCCAGGCTCCAGAACTCTTGTAAACGCCTTCATTCTACACCCAGGATACAGAATTCTGGTAAACTGCATCTCTCTACCCAACCTAACAACAAGCACATGAGCTGCATCTCCCACATTCAGGTTATAGGAAACCCACATATTGCATATTGCTACTCCCCCGCATGGGCTATAGAAAACCTGCAGAGTGCGTATGCAACTCCCACACTACAGAACTCTGTAAAGTGCTTCTAACTACACCGAGCGTACAGAATCCCATAAACTGCATCTCTCACCACCCAGCTTACTGAACTCCAGTAAGCTGCGTCTCCTACAGTTAAGCTACACCAAAACCGCAAATCGCGTATTGCTACTCCCAAGCTACACAACACTGTATACTGCTTTTCTATATACCAGGGAAACAGAACTCTCATCAACTACATTGCCCTTCACCAATGTTACAAAACAACCGTTGCTGCATCTCCCACACTCGTGTTATGGAAAACCTGCATATTGTGCATTGCTACTTCCATGCTACAGAACTCTGTAAAGTACTTCTCTGTACATCCAGGCTACAGAACTCTTGTAAACTGCTTCTCTCTAGACCCAGGATACAGAAATACTGCAAGCTGCGTTTGCTACACTCACGCTACGGATATCCCAGATATAGCGTACTCCAACTCCCAGGCTACAGAACTCTTGTAAACTGCTTCATTCTACACCCAGGATACGGAACTCTGTTAAACTGCATCTCTCTACCCCAATGTCACAAAAGCACGTGAGCTGCATCTCCTACACTCAGGCTATAGAAATCCCACTTATTTCGAATGTCTACTCCCAGGCTACAGAACTCTTGTAAGCTTCTTCTTTCTAGACCTAGGATACAGAAATACGTAAGCTGTGTCTGCTGCACCAAGGCTACAGATATCCCAGATATTGCGAATGCCTACTCCCAGGCTACAGAACTGGTGCAAACTGCTTCTCTCAATACCCAGGTTACAGAAATCCTGTACAGTGCGAATGCCTACTCCCAGGCATTCATTCTACAGCTCATAGCAAACCCGCATATTGCGTATTGCTAGTCCCAGGCTCCAGAACTCTTGTAAACGCCTTCATTCTACACCCAGGATACAGAATTCTGGTAAACTGCATCTCTCTACCCAACTAACAACAAGCACATGAGCTGCATCTCCCACATTCAGGTTATAGGAAACCCACATATTGTGTATTGCTACTCCCACGCTACAGAACTCGGTAAACTGTTTCTCTCTGTAAGCAGCTTCCACAATTCCCATAAACTGCATCTCTCCACACCCAGCTTATAGAACTCCCGGAGGCTGCATTTCCCTGCAACCACGTTACAGAACACCCATTAGCTGCATCTCCCACACACGGGCTATAGAAAACCTGCAGAGTGCATATTGCTACTCCCACACTACAGAACTCTGTAAAGTGCTTCTAACTACACCGAGCGTACAGAATCCCATAAACTGCATCTCTCACCACCCAGCTTACTGAACTCCCCTAAGCTGCGTCTCCTACAGTTAAGCTACACAAAAACCCGCAAATCGCGTATTGCTACTCCCAAGCTACACAACACTGTATACTGCTTTTTCCATATACCAGGGAAACAGAACTCTCATCAACTACATTGCCCTTCACCAATGTCACAAAACCCCCGTTACCTTGTCTCCCTCACTCGTGTTATGGAAAACCTGCATATGGTGCATTGCTACTTCCATGCTACAGAACTCTGTAAAGTACTTCTCTGTACATCCAGACTACAGAACTCTTGTACACTGCTTCTCTCTAGACCAAGGATACAGAAATACCGCAAGCTGTGTCTGCTATACTCACGCTACAGATGTTCCAGATATTGCGTACTCCTACTCCCAGGCTACAGAACTCTTGTACACTGCATATCCCAAGACCCAGGATACTGAACTACCACAAGCTGTGTCTTCTACACATAAGCCACAGGTATCCCAGATATTGGGAATGGCCTACTCCCAGGCTACAGAACTGGTGCAAACTGCTTCTCTCAACACTCAGGTACTGAAATCCTTACAGTGCGAACGCCTACCCCCAGGCATTCATTCTACAGCTCATAGCAAACCCGCATATTGCGTATTGCTAGTCCCAGGCTCCAGAACTCTTGTAAACGCCTTCATTCTACACCCAGGATACAGAATTCTGGTAAACTGCATCTCTCTACCCAACCTAACAACAAGCACATGAGCTGCATCTCCCACATTCAGGTTATAGGAAAACCCACATATTGCATATTGCTACTCCCCCGCATGGGCTATAGAAAACCTGCAGATGTGCGTATGCAACTCCCACACTACAGAACTCTGTAAAGTGCTTCTAACTACACCGAGCGTACAGAATCCATAAACTGCATCTCTCACCACCCAGCTTACTGAACTCCAGTAAGCTGCGTCTCCTACAGTTAAGCTACACCAAAACCGCAAATCGCGTATTGTACTCCCAAGCTACACAACACTGTATACTGCTTTTCTATATACCAGGGAAACAGAACTCTCATCAACTACATTGCCCTTCACCAATGTTACAAAACAACCGTTGCTGCATCTCCCACACTCGTGTTATGGAAAACCTGCATATTGTGCATTGCTACTTCCATGCTACAGAACTCTGTAAAGTACTTCTCTGTACATCCAGGCTACAGAACTCTTGTAAACTGCTTCTCTCTAGACCCAGGATACAGAAATACTGCAAGCTGCGTTTGCTACACTCACGCTACGGATATCCCAGATATAGCGTACTCCAACTCCCAGGCTACAGAACTCTTGTAAACTGCTTCATTCTACACCCAGGATACGGAACTCTGTTAAACTGCATCTCTCTACCCCAATGTCACAAAAAGCACGTGAGCTGCATCTCCTACACTCAGGCTATAGAAATCCCACTTATTTCGAATGTCTACTCCCAGGCTACAGAACTCTTGTAAGCTTCTTCTTTCTAGACCTAGGATACAGAAATACGGTAAGCTGTGTCTGCTGCACCAAGGCTACAGATATCCCAGATATTGCGAATGCCTACTCCCAGGCTACAGAACTGGTGCAAACTGCTTCTCTCAACACTCAGGTTACTGAAATCCTTTACAGTGCGAACGCCTACCCCCAGGCATTCATTCTACAGCTCATAGCAAACCCGCATATTGCGTATTGCTAGTCCCAGGCTCCAGAACTCTTGTAAACGCCTTCATTCTACACCCAGGATACAGAATTCTGGTAAACTGCATCTCTCTACCCAACCTAACAACAAGCACATGAGCTGCATCTCCCACATTCAGGTTATAGGAAACCCACATATTGTGTATTGCTACTCCCACGCTACAGAACTCGGTAAACTGTTTCTCTCTGTAAGCAGCTTCCACAATTCCCATAAACTGCATCTCTCCACACCCAGCTTATAGAACTCCCGGAGCTGCATTTCCCTGCAACCACGTTACAGAACACCCATTAGCTGCATCTCCCACACACGGGCTATAGAAAACCTGCAGAGTGCATATTGCTACTCCCACACTACAGAACTCTGTAAAGTGCTTCTAACTACACCGAGCGTACAGAATCCCATAAACTGCATCTCTCACCACCCAGCTTACTGAACTCCCCTAAGCTGCGTCTCCTACAGTTAAGCTACACAAAAACCGCAAATCGCGTATGCTACTCCAAGCTACACAACACTGTATACTGCTTTTCCATATACCAGGGAAACAGAACTCTCATCAACTACATTGCCCTTCACCAATGTCACAAAACCCCCGTTACCTTGTCTCCCTCACTCGTGTTATGGAAAACCTGCATATGGTGCATTGCTACTTCCATGCTACAGAACTCTGTAAAGTACTTCTCTGTACATCCAGACTACAGAACTCTTGTACACTGCTTCTCTCTAGACCAAGGATACAGAAATACCGCAAGCTGTGTCTGCTATACTCACGCTACAGATGTTCCAGATATTGCGTACTCCTACTCCCAGGCTACAGAACTCTTGTACACTGCATATCCCAAGACCCAGGATACTGAAATACCACAAGCTGTGTCTTCTACACATAAGCCACAGGTATCCCAGATATTGGGAATGCCTACTCCCAGGCTACAGAACTGGTGCAAACTGCTTCTCTCAACACTCAGGTTACTGAAATCCTTTACAGTGCGAACGCCTACCCCCAGGCATTCATTCTACAGCTCATAGCAAACCCGCATATTGCGTATTGCTAGTCCCAGGCTCCAGAACTCTTGTAAACGCCTTCATTCTACACCCAGGATACAGAATTCTGGTAAACTGCATCTCTCTACCCAACCTAACAACAAGCACATGAGCTGCATCTCCCACATTCAGGTTATAGGAAACCCACATATTGCATATTGCTACTCCCCCGCATGGGCTATAGAAAACCTGCAGAGTGCGTATGCAACTCCCACACTACAGAACTCTGTAAAGTGCTTCTAACTACACCGAGCGTACAGAATCCCATAAACTGCATCTCTCACCACCCAGCTTACTGAACTCCCAGTAAGCTGCGTCTCCTACAGTTAAGCTACACCAAAACCGCAAATCGCGTATTGCTACTCCCAAGCTACACAACACTGTATACTGCTTTTCTATATACCAGGGAAACAGAACTCTCATCAACTACATTGCCCTTCACCAATGTTACAAAACAACCGTTGCTGCATCTCCCACACTCGTGTTATGGAAAACCTGCATATTGTGCATTGCTACTTCCATGCTACAGAACTCTGTAAAGTACTTCTCTGTACATCCAGGCTACAGAACTCTTGTAAACTGCTTCTCTCTAGACCCAGGATACAGAAATACTGCAAGCTGCGTTTGCTACACTCACGCTACGGATATCCCAGATATAGCGTACTCCAACTCCCAGGCTACAGAACTCTTGTAAACTGCTTCATTCTACACCCAGGATACGGAACTCTGTTAAACTGCATCTCTCTACCCCAATGTCACAAAAAGCACGTGAGCTGCATCTCCTACACTCAGGCTATAGAAATCCCACTTATTTCGAATGTCTACTCCAGGCTACAGAACTCTGTAAGCTTCTCTTCTTTCTAGACCCTAGGATACAGAAATACCCGGAAGCTGTGTCTGCTGCACCCAAGGCTACAGATATCCCAGATATTGGAATGCCTACTCCCAGGCTACAGAACTGGTGCAACTGCTTCTCTCAACACTCAGGTTACTGAAATCCTTTACAGTGCGAACGCCTACCCCCAGGCATTCATTCTACAGCTCATAGCAAACCCGCCATATTGCGTTTTGCTAGTCCCAGGCTCCAGAACTCTTGTAAACGCCTTCATTCTACACCCAGGATACAGAATTCTGGTAAACTGCATCTCTCTACCCAACCTAACAACAAGCACATGAGCTGCATCTCCCACATTCTAGGTTATAGGAAACCCACATATTGCATATTGCTACTCCCCCGCATGGGCTATAGAAAACCTGCAGAGTGCGTATGCAACTCCCACACTACAGAACTCTGTAAAGTGCTTCTAACTACACCGAGCGTACAGAATCCCATAAACTGCATCTCTCACCACCCAGCTTACTGAACTCCAGTAAGCTGCGTCTCCTACAGTTAAGCTACACCAAAACCGCAAATCGCGTATGCCTACCTCCCAAGCTACACAACACTGTATACTGCTTTTCTATATACAGGGAAACAGAACTCTCATCAACTACATTGCCCTTCACCAATGTTACAAAACAACCGTTGCTGCATCTCCCCATCTCGTGTTATGGAAAACCTGCATATTGTGCATTGCTACTTCCATGCTACAGAACTCTGTAAAGTACTTCTCTGTACATCCAGGCTACAGAACTCTTGTAAACTGCTTCTCTCTAGACCCAGGATACAGAAATACTCGCAAGCTGCGTTTGCTACACTCACGCTACGGATATCCCAGATATAGCGTACTCCAACTCCCAGGCTACAGAACTCGTTGTAAACTGCTCATTCTACACCCAGGATACGGAACTCTGTTAAACTGCATCTCTCTACCCCAATGTCACAAAAAGCACGTGAGCTGCATCTCCTACACTCAGGCTATAGAAATCCCACTTATTTCGAATGTCTACTCCAGGCTACAGAACTCTTGTAAGCTTCTTCTTTCTAGACCTAGGATACAGAAATACGGTAAGCTGTGTCTGCTGCACCAAGGCTACAGATATCCCAGATATTGCGAATGCCTACTCCCAGGCTACAGAACTGGTGCAAACTGCTTCTCTCAACACTCAGGTTACTGAAATCCTGTACAGTGCGAACGCCTACCCCCAGGCATTCATTCTACAGCTCATAGCAAACCCGCATATTGCGTATTGCTAGTCCCAGGCTCCAGAACTCTTGTAAACGCCTTCATTCTACACCCAGGATACAGAATTCTGGTAAACTGCATCCTCTCAACCCAAAACAAGCACATGAGCTGCATCTCCCACATTCAGGTTATAGGAAACCCACATATGCATATGCTACTCCCCCGCATGGGCTATAGAAAACC